ACGCACAGGCAACCAAAGGAAACATGGACAAACAGGACCACATCAAGTTAAAAAGCTCTGCAGAGCAAAGGAAACAATCAGCAAAGCGAAGAGACAACCTACAGAATGGGAGAAAACTGCAAACTGTCATTCTAACAAGGGATTAATAACCTCCATCTATAAAGAACTCAAACAACTGTAGAGGAAAAAAAAAATCTAACAATGCAATTTTAAAAATGGGTTAAAGATCTGAATAGACATTCCTCAAAAGAAGACATACAAATGACAAACATGCATATGAAAAGGTGCTCAAGATCACAGACCATCAGAGAAATGAAAAATCAAACCTATAATGAGATATCACCTCATCCCAATTAAAATGGCTTTTAACCAAAAGACAAGGAATAACAAATTGCTGGTAAGGATGTGGAGAAAGGAAAATCCTGTTATAGTGTTGGCTGGAATGTAAATTAGTATAACCACTATGGAGAACAGCTTGGAGATTCCTCAAAAAACTAAAAACAGAGGTACCATATGATCCTCTGGTACCAGCAATCCCAATGCTGGGGATTTTCCGTCTTTCCAAAAGAAGGAAAATCAGTACGTAGAAGAGATTTATACACTTCCATGTTTGCTGCAGCACTGTTCACAGCAGCCAAGATTTTGAAGCAACCTAAGTGTCCATAGAGATAAAATGTGGTACACATACACAATGGAGAACTAACTATTCAGCCATAAAAAAGAATGAGATCCTGTCATCTGTAACAACATGGATGGAACCAAGGTCCTTTTGTCAAGTGAAATAAGCCAGGCACAGATAGACAAACTTCACAGGTTCTCATTTACTTGTGGAAGCTAAAAAATAAAATAATTAAACTCATGGAGAGAGAGAGATGGATGGTTACCAGTGGCTGAGGAGGATAGTGGGGGTGGAGCGGAAGTAAGGATGGTTAATAGGCACTAAAAAATAGGAATAATGAATAAGATCTACTACTGATAGCACAACAAGGTTACAATAGTCAACACTAACTTAATTGTACATTGTAAAATAACTAAAAGAGTATAATTGGATGGCTTGTTATATAAAAAATAAATACTTGAGGGGATGGATAACCCATTTACCATGATGTGATTATTACGCATTGTATGCCTGTTTCAAAGTATCTCACGTACTCCATAAATACATACACCTACTATGTACCCACAAAAATGTTAAAAATTTTAAAAATAATAAAAATAAAATTTTATCTTCTAAAAAAAAGTAGGTAGGTAAGGTTGGAGAGGTATTCCCAGGTTTCACTTGATAACTAGGAAAAATTAAGAGTTCCATATCTGCCAAGAAATGGCAGAAATAGCTGATTCAGATGCTTCTGAATGGAAACATATTACTTACACAGAAGCATACTTTTGTGTAATTTATTAGTAAACAAACATATAAACCTTTGGTGACCTAAAGTTCATATTTAGTTGCAAAATTGTTTATTTTTCAAAACATAACATATATTGCTTGAGAAAACAATTCCTCTAAATGGTCTTAGGAAAAGAAAACACAAGCCTTATTTTTTCGTGGAATCAAAAACTGAACCATCATTCTCTCCTTCCCGATATACAAAGAATCACTACAAAACAATAGTTACATGAGAACCTGATATGACATGAAATGAGGTTTCCAGAAATCCATTATTCCATAATGCAATCAGGGGACCTATTTCACAGTATATTTACAACACATGCAATAAACTTGGACTCTGAACTCCGCAGCAGCTGATTAAACAAGAAGCCTACTTCTTTTCAGCTGTCCTGGCATAGCTTTATTAAGTCTAACAAACATCAAGCTTCCAGAATGCCATAAATAACTCTGGCTTATAAGCTGTAGTAACAGTACTAAAATTTCCCCAGGTGTAAACATGTCCTACTAGCTAGAAATCCTTTAAAAGATGACTTCTAGACTACCATTGTAGCTATCATGGACCTAAAGTTAAGGTGAGAAGGAGTAATCATTTTAACTCTTACAATACACTGTAGACAAGATTTAGTGAATCATTTAGCTTCAGAGTAAAACAGTCATCCTTACTATGGTACAATTTTGCAGATTAATTTGACAACTACTTTCACTTTTAAATCTGCACAGCACAGAAAAAGCCAAACTAAAATATAATTTCTCTATTAAATATATAGAGAAATTCATGGGTAAACTACAGTTAAACACTAATGTTTAACTGATTAGGTATCTTATTTATATGTTAACAAACTAAAACACCAAATAATAATGCCAGTATTTCACTCTTTTTTAACCAAACACTTCATATTTGAAGGAACAATAAATATTTTACTCCACTCCCAATTCAAGCCCTAGTTTTCATCTCTATATCAAAGAGGAAACCCTAATAAGTACCATCCGTATTTCTAAAACCCTATATTTCTGAACATGCTTTTGAATACGACATAAATAATTTTTTCAAAAGCTTGACACCATGATGTCAATGTTAGATCAGTTCAATTTGAGAATTATGCAGGAAAAATACCACTCAAATTGTTAGAACAAAAAGTTTTTCTAATTTATCTTCATTCACTAGAGGATTAAACTGAAGATATGCAACGTAAATTTCCCTCCATTCAAGCAAAGTCTCAAAATACCAGATAAATACAGAAAATTCTTCCACACAACTTTGCCCAATAACTTATCAACTCAGACACACAGACATGAAAAGAGAGTATCTCTGAGTGGAACTGTGATAATGGTTCCTGGAGTAACTGAGAAGATCAAATTAAAGTGTTACCAAGATAGGTTACTCGCTAGCTTATAGGATCGGTCTCCTTATCAAATTTCTAGAGCAAGAATAATTTAAAAATTTACTTGCTTAAATATCTGTGTTTCCAAATAGATTCTTGAGAACATGCACGCAGCCTTTTTCACACCTCTAGACCCTAACAGAAGTATTCAGCAAATAAATGGCTGGCATTCAGTAAGTATTTACTAAACAGAACTAAAGCCACTTGCTTCTAACAATAGCTCCTTGAAATGAATGGGTAAGTATCATAACAAAAATGGTGAAATTAATTACTGGTGTTGGCTACAGCTGCCAAAGATGGACATAACCACACCTAAAAAGTCTCCAATGCTACCATGGTGGCAGTATAACAGGAGGTTTTTCAAAAGATGCTTTTTTTTTTTTTTTTTTCTGAGATGGAGTTTAGCTTTTGTTGCCTAGGCTGGAGTGCAATGGCGCGATCTCGGCTCACCACAACCTCCACCGCCCAAGTTCAAGCGATTCGATTCTTCTGCCTCAGCCTCCCGAGTAGCTGGGATTACAGGCATGCACTACCACACCCGGCTAATTTTGTATTTTTGGTAGAGACGGGGTTTCTCCATGTTGAAGCTGGTCTCAAACTCCTGAGCTCAGGTGATCCACACGCCTCAGCCTCCCAAAGTGCTGGGATTACAGGCATGAGCCACCGTGCTAGGCCTAAAAGATGTTTCTTCCTTGATAACAACACTCCTAAATTTCTCAACCCTTTGTGGCTAGGTTTGGCCATTAGACTTAAGTTCTTGACAAAAAAATTAAGTGGAAGTCTTGTGTAGGCTTTTCAAACGGCTACTTGAAGGAAGCAAACTCAGCTAAAAGCAGGACCCCACTCTCTGCCCCACTTTTTCCCCTTCCAGGCAACAACTTAGGATGTGATGGGTGGCTCTTCAGCAGCTATCTTGTATGCTGAGGTGACCTTGATTGACAATGGAAGCCAAACACTAGGATGGTAGAGCAGAAGATAAGAACTTGAGTTTCTTATACTGAGTCATAATAATACTAGCCCTGGACCACTTGCTTTCAGAATCTTTTATGTGACAGAAATAAATTTTTACCCAAGTCACCATTTTGTTCATTCTTCTATGGTTGTCAAACCTAACATTACTTGAGAGACAGTGTTTAAAAATTTAAAATGTTGACTGAATTGGCAACTAAGTCTGTGGCTTTCATGGCAACGAATGTAAAATGGATCACTCTCTACCGCCCATAAGACTTAAGATTATAGAATACAACAACTGTAATCAAATCCAATAATGTGGAAAAAAATGGTTTTGAAATGCAGAACCTTACTATAATGAAAGTATTTTACAAAGAGAGATGAAAATTCATTGGAAATGGGTGAGAGCATATAGACTATAACAGTAACAATGAGCTTAATGGTACTAAAGGCAAATTAGATTAATAAAATAGCAAAAAATTATTAAAATTTTAAAAGGCTGAAGCCACTGAATTTGAAGTCTGGAAATACTGATTTCAGTTACAGGTAATTTTAGGAAAATAATTTCATATATCAAGGCCTTAGTTCCCCATTATAGAAAAGGAATTAAATAATCTCTAAGAAAATTTCAGTTCCAGAATTCTCTACATACCTTAGCATGTTAATATTAATTTAAAAGAAAACACCAAAATACATCGATATTAAGTCTAAGACAATTCTTCAAATTAAAAAGCAACTACATCTTTTCCAGATACAAAGCAATGATATCTTCCAAATACTGGTTTAAAAAGTTTTGTCACCACTGATGATATCTTATTCAGATCTTTGTGCCTGCTATTCTGGCTACCTAGAATGGACTTACCTCCAACTCTTCAACTAACTACATTTATCTCTTTTAGGTATCTTTCAGATCTTAGGATATATATTTCTTCTTGAGTGAGGCCTGTTCTGACCCCTAGAGTAGGTCCCATCTATTTTCTTTCTTAACATACTCTGCTTTTAAATTTCATAGTACTTCATCACCACTGTTCATTCATATAATTATTTGTGTTATTTTATTAAATGTTTCTTTCCCATTATAGCATAATATCCAGAGGGAAGAGGCATTTCTGTTTGGCTTTGTTTTCACTACTTTTTTGCCCTGATACAATGCCTAACACACAGATAAGAGTTAATTCATGCTAGTATTTCTTATACAAAAGAACAAGCAAATGAATAAATAAAGCGGGCATTAAAGAATTGCAGAGTTCATGCAAGAAAATGTTTACCCAACTCACCTCATTAAACACAGGATACATGACTGCATAGAGGGGCATAGAAACCATGGATGTGGTCTCAGCTTCATTCTTCATCTCTTCCATTGTCATCCTCATTCAAAAGCCAACTACAGTTGAAAAAGCAGTGCTAAAATGCAGAGGAATCTTCATTCACTGCAATATTTCTTCTCTTTTTTGGTGATCAAAGAATTGGACACAAAACACACTGATCTGGTGAAAGGGAAGAAAGAACAGAGATTTACTATATTAAGGGGAAACAACAAATATCAATAATTTTCCTTTCCAAATTACAGAGTTCCTTCCTACCTTACGAAAAGCTATTTTTTAATATATTCTACTTGTGAAAGCAAACCTAGTTGGCAAGAAATTTATCTTTTCCTCCAAAGACTCAACAACTGCCCTTTCCTAGTGATTTAAGACACTGCTTAACTTGAACTCAAGAGAGTTCTCTATGAAGCGCCATGGAATAATTATGCATGTCATGCCACCATATACAATCTAAGAGACCATATCAATAAGATATATATTTATAACATTTATACACAATATAAAACTATAATCAGGAAATGCATGATGTGTAAGTGTGTGCAGAAAAACAAATTAAAGAATCAACAAAGAAGAAAGAACTAGGGTGTTTTAACATTTGTATTAAAACCTTTTTGCTATTTGTTTATTGATTCTGTCACCTGAAAATAACACAAATATAACAAGCATCAAATATTTCAGACAAACATAAAATTGAAAAAAATTTTACCAAATGTGATCCACTTGGTAAAATACCTACTACTTAACTGTGCCAGTGATACCTTTTGGTATTTAGAAGAACTATGGAAATTGCTGTCCAAATCTGGCACGAAAACTGAGAAAGAAGAAAAACCCAGAGAGGTTGGTAGTTTGGGATTAAAATCAAGAATTCAACAATAAAAGATATTTTGCCTTGAGATGTTAAGGAAATATGTTAGTTTTTAAAGAGAATACAACTATTTATTTCCTTTGCTATGGTTAAAAAAAAAAAAAAAAACAGATCCTAATCGTAAAGTGAATGAGTGACAGCAGTGACACACCTATATTAAACAAAAAGTAATTTTTTTTGATTAATTTCTACTACTTGTAAAGCATTTTCACAGCATAAAACATTTTGCACATGCATTTAGTCCTATAATAACCTGCTTTAAAAAAGACTACAATTCTAATTTTACAAGTGTAAAAGCAGGCTCAAAGATAATAAATAACTTGCCCAAGATCACACAAGTAGAGACCCAAGACTTGATCCCAGGACTCTGAATATAGATCTGATACTGTCATATACCAAAACCAAATTTGAAGTGGAAATAAAGAACCCCACGTCATCTATTCAAGAAAAGTACCCAGAAGTTATAATTCACTAAACATATTTAGAGTATGTTTAGCACCACTAAGTATGAAATGTAGTTCCTAATCATTAAAAATTGATCTGTGCCAGAATGTGTAAGACCTAACGAGACTGAAAGATACAATCAAAGGCCTGCAGTGAGGCTTCAAAAAGCTCCAATAACCTGTTCCATTTGAAAGCTGCTTAGTATTCTACCATATCACCACCAGTGAAACAGAACTCAACACCTACGGAAACTGTTTAGTCCCATTTCTGACAGTTCTAAACATCAAAGTTTTCCTGTTTCTCACCTGAAACCTACTCCATGATTTCACAGAACAAAAAGAGCAAAAGGCGAATTCCTAAATTTCATTCTATGGGGAAAGAGAATACCATTACCTGATTATATAACTCATTTAAGTAGATGGCTTTGGTCATAGCAAGACGAAGAGAATGGAGGAAGAATAACAACAAGGAAAACTAAGAGACTTAGTGTACCTATGTCAGAAATAAACAAGACCAAAATCATAAGCAAAAAGAAGTAGATAAATACCAATTGTAGCCCTACTGTTCCTATTTAACTACTTAATGTCACTTGGTAATCTGCTCCACTTCAAAATAAATTGGGAAAACTTCATAATAAAAAAAACCTGGAGAAAAGGAGGACGGCTAAAATGCAGTGATATCAGTCAAAATGACAAGGACAGAATGAATGCAGAATATAGACAGCAGCAAAGGCATGGTATCATCAATGAAAAACGAAGAAATGGCAAACCAAAACCAAGAACAGACCTTGAGGAGCTCTCTCATTGTGTGACAGAAAAAAAAAATTATTTATTTAATAAATATTTCATTGGTTACAGAGGTATGATATCAAATATAGAGCAGTGAACAAGAGAAGACAGTCTCTGGCCCCATAAAACATGTTTTATAAAAGGTAAGTCAGAAAACATACAATTGTGATGCACACACAAGGGAGAAGTCAAGCTGCTATATCGCTATGAGAGAACTGGAGAAAACCAGCATCACAAAAAAAGTTTCAAGGAGAAGAAGGTAGCCAAAAGTTTTAAATGCTACTGAGTACGGAAAGTAACTTTTAAAAAAGCATTTGATTTCTTGATGAAGTTAAAGAGATAACCTTCAAAGAGCAGAGCACTTATATACTGGGGTGAGAACTCCCTGCAGGGGCTAAGAGAGTGAGCTGGTAAGAAAGGAGTCTAAGCTTTCAAGAATCTCGGTATAAAGGAGGTGAAATACTTATAAGAAAAGTAAGCACAATGGAATTACTTTTGTGTTTTACTCTTTTGAACACATACGCATATAACTGCAGATGTAGAGGCTGCCAGAGGTAAAGGGATAAGGTAAGTGGCTAGAGTCACTTTCAGAATTACTGCTGACATCTCTACCTACCTATCCCCAATAAACCTACTCAAATACTTAATTTTTACCTTTTGTAAATACTGGCATTTAATTTTTTTTTTTTTTTGAGACGGAGTCTCCCTCTGTCGCCCAGGCTGGAGTGCAGTGGCCGCATCTCAGCTCACTGCAAGCTCCTCCTCCTGAGTTTATGCCATTCTCCTGCCTCAGCCTCCCAAGTAGCTGGGACTACAGGCGCCCGCCACCTCGCCCAGCTAGTTTTTTGTATTTTTTAGTAGAGAAGGGGTTTCACCGTGTTAGCCAGGATGGTCTCGATCTCCTGATCTCGTGATCCGCCCGTCTAATATTTTTAAAATTCGTGTTTAATAATTAGTCTCTTCTCTAAAACTAACTTTACATTACTAGCAGTGCTTATTTGTCAACAAAAAGAACAGTATTTTGGCAACATCATGGGCTACATAAGTGGCTGGCCTACGGCATACATGCCATCTTTTAATACTGTTCTTATGAAAAATGCTCCAAAGAACCAATTTAAAACTCAACTTTTCAGAACACACATTAACAATGGGGGCTACTCACAGTTTCAGTAGCATTTACATGAGATTAAAAATCATCAATTCCAATACGACTTTTTAAATACTGAATTACTGTCAATTTCAAGTTAAAATACGCCTTTGTCATTCCTTCCACATGCTTCTTCATTTGAAATAGTTCAAAGGACAACATGCAATTACTCCACGCAACAAAGAGCCTGCTATGGAAACAGCAAAGGTCAGCTGAGCTGAGTGAGGTCTGAGGCCCCCTTTGACAAGGTGCCTTCCTTTTAGTATGAGTGTGAGCACGTCCCAGCAGCTGGGTAGCACATTAACAGAATTTCAGCCCTCTAAGGTATATTATTTTCTGAAGTAGGTGCTGTTTATGCACATACAGAAAACTGAAGATCACTGACTACAAATCCCACATCTGAAAACGCCTTAAAAAGTTATTTCATCCATTCCACTATCTACAGTAGAAACCAAAGTCCAAAAAGGGTGTAGTGACTTGCTCCTGGTCACAACTTCTAGCTCATAATTAAATAAATAATACAAATTTAATGTTGGTATGATAGCATCATAGCAAGAACTTTATGACTGACATTTCAAATGTACTGCTTTGAGGGGAAATTTCAGTTCAAAGTAAGCTTTGTGTACTGTTAGCATCCACAGAATAAAAACCAAGAACCAGAAATGTTGATAAGAACTTAGACAAAAGGCATACTTTAAAACACATTTTTCTTCAAAAACACCCATTGTGATATCGGGATATCAACATAGAGTATAAGCAATCTTCTCATTTATAATTTCCCACTCATTTTCTTAAATATTCAAACTAGCACTGATAGTTTTCAACAGAAGATAATCAGCTTTAAATATCTTCCTGAACTAAAGATAATTATCACTTGCTTAGAGTAAGAAGCCCAAAAACATAGGTATTCGCCATTCCACTGCCAAACTCTTAAATTTCTGGTGTTTCTGCCCTCCCTAACCAACTCGAGTCTGCTCATTTAAAGAGCTACACACGGGTGTATCTCAGGGCTCAGAATCAGTATTTCCTGAAACTGCCTTACTTTACTCCATCTGGGACTTGAGATAAGTCTAGAGCCAAAGCTATTTACTACCAAATGAAAGGAGTGGACCAACAGAAGCTCTTGGTACTGGTATAGGCACTTCTTGGTTAGAAAAATAGCTTTTTAAGTAATTCTACACTTAAAACGTTTGTAGGCAGGCAGGTCTTATTGTCTTGTTTTTCTCTCCAGTAAAATCCAGTACTCAGTCCTCTCAGTTGGCCCTAAATTCTTACAATTCCTGTAATTTCTCTCTCTAAAAAGGGAAAGACTGATTGACATGTATGCTGGATCTCCAACAAAATGTGCATGAACATTCAGTTAAGAGAAGTGTGTTCATTCTAGCAGTGAGCAGAATCCTGTGTTTATGTTCTCAAAGTGTGTTTCTTCTTCCCAATAGAGACATTAGTGTCAGCAAAGCAGGCACATAACAGACACTTAATGTTTGCTGAGTGACCAAATTCATGAGTTAAGAGATGGACAATTTATAAATTGAATCAGTCTTGCTAATACTTTTCAAATAGCATGCCTAGCAAAATAAAAACAAACACAAAAATCAAATTAATTCTATTAACAAAGCTTGGACCCAGCCACATTATCACTGGACCCAAAATTCAGTGATAATAAGATTTCATTGTTGTTATCAGCTATACTTTCCAAAGTAATTTCATGGGAATTTTTTTAAGACAAATTTTTTTTAAGCATCAGATCATTAAAAATTATTTACAAATTCTAGTAAGGAAGTCCTCCCCAAGAGTTGGTTGACCCAGGGTTTCAAATAACTGACAATTCCTTGCTTTCTTTCAGTAACTTAACATACATACTCATCAGCTGGGCATGGTGACTCATGCCTGTAATCCTAGTACTTTGGGATGCCGAGGCGGGTGAATCACCTGAGGTCAGGAGTTCAAGACCAGCCTGGCCAGTATGGTGAAACCCCATCTCCACTAAAAATACAGAAATTAGCTGGGCTTGTTGGTGGGCTTCTGTAGTCCCAGCTACTCGGGAGGCTGAGGCAAGGGAATTGCTTGAACCTGGGAGGCGGAGGTTGCAGTAAGCCGAGATCGTGCCACTGCACTCCAGCCTAGGCAACAGAGCAAGATGCCGTCTCAAAACAAACAAACAAAAGTAACATACTCATCAAGCTCTTACAGAAAATGGAAATATACAAAGACTGTATAGATCACAGGCTGGCCATTTAACACAGTTGGGAGGGGTTAACATTTGCTGACACAGTTCACATACCTTTTTAGGATTTTCTCATGCCAAAACGTTGTTAGTCACTTCCAAACAAGAGACCAAGATTTAGAGGAGAAAGCTAGGAAAAAGGGAGGCAGAGGAATAGGGTAAGTCAATGATCCTACTATAGAGTAAAATGAGCTTGATATCTTAAGGATATACCTACATTTCTCTTCTTGACCTGCAAATTACATCTTCTGTAATTCAATGTCTTCCATTTCCAGTTTTCTTAATAAAGTTAAGTGGAACTTAACCTCCTTGAACATACACTACTGTCAGTTTAGTAATTATATAATTTTACACTTAGGGACATCTAGAAGCAATCTCTTGTTAATGATAAGTGTATATAGCACTTTACCACTGTATTGTTTATATATATGCTTTAAAAATATCAAATGGACAATTTGTGCAGAAAGATACAAGGAAAAAGCATAAGCATTTAAAGACTCAAAGCATGGACTCAAATTCTGGTCCTGTCATTTATAAACTATCTTTGTCTCTGAACAATTCATTTCACCTCTCTATGCTTTAGTTTCTTCTTTAATATGTTTGACAGCTCTAGGGTACTTAGCAGCACAAGCTTGTGGATCTTCAACTTGGTGCTGCTGAGACTTCTAACTCACCTTAAAAGTTAACCTTAAATTTAACTGCATCATGTCAAGTGTATGCACTTACATATTTTGTAGAATACTGTTTCTTTTTTGGGGGGGCGGGGGGACAGAGTTTCACTCTGTCGCCCAGGCTGTAGTGAAGTGGTGTACCTCCACCCACGTTCAAGCGATTCTCCTTCCTCAGCCTCCCGAGTAGTTGGGTAAATTATAGGCACCTGTCACCATGCCTGGCTATTTTGTATTTTTAGTAGAGACGTGGGTTTCACCATGTTTGTCAGTTTGGTTTCAAATTCCTGACCTCAGGTGATCCACCCACCTCAGTCTCCCAAAGTGCTGGGATTACAGGCATGAGCGACCGTGCCTGGCCAGAGTACTGTTTAATACAGAAATTTATAAAATGGGTAAGAAGTAACTTTTTCTACACATAGACAGTATACAGCAGGAGATAGTGCTCAGATTGGAAGAAAAAAACCTCAGTTTGAATTTTTGTTCAGCTGGATGCTATCATTTCAGTTTTGTAAATCTCTATTTCTAAACTAGTGAGAATCAGAAATATTGAAGTACTCACTTCCCCAGGTTAAGAGTAATAAATGCATATTAGACACTTGATACAGTAGCTAACACACAATAACCATTCTATTCATATTGTTATTAATATTTTAGCCAAAATTAAAGGGACCTGACATGGAATCGACTGCAACTAGGGTGAGGCAAACCAGATGCCTAGAACACAAAATTTTGTTCTGATTTGCACGACTTGGAGAGTTACTGCTTCTTCAAAGTTTGTACCCTAGGCACATTTCTTGCCTCACCCTAGTCCTCCCCCTGCATAACATACACAATAAGACTCAAACACTGATATCACAATGTCATAAAGGCCACCTACATAGCATATTTTCAAAATCTTTTTTCTCCCATTTGCCAAAATGAGTGCACAAATAAACTTAGTTTTGGCTTACATAAAATAATTTGGTCATCGGGGCATTTTAAAACTATTTGCCAAGTCAATGTTAAAATTACTTTTTCTAAATGTACATGGGTAAACTTAACAAAGGAAACCATGGTCCAGAAGCAGGTTGGGTAGCAGGCTGGGTTGCAGACTGAAATCAAGATTTGATCAAAGCCCTTGAGATAATTCATAAAAGGTGATAATCTATACAAGATAATCAAAAGTTGACAACAAAATCAAAGAGCTCATTACCTCTGAATTAGCTGATGGGAAATGGAAACAATAACAAAATAGTAACAACTGGCTCCTTACCATACTTCAAAGCAACTTGTTCAGGAGGAAAAATATACATCTCTTTAGTTTTGACAATCCTCATTTTTTTTCCCTATGTCTAAATTTTTGGTAAATTCTGATCTGAGTAAAATTTAAATGAAAATACTTGTTGGGAGACAGGAAACAAATCTGTCGCCTTGAATATGTTTATCTTTTGCCCATAAAGTTCTCAATCTAGTGGTTCATGAATGATGATGCCTAGTTGAATAGCTGTTCGGTGTTTAATTGAGGTACATGTCTATTTTCCTTTCTGCTAATATTATTCCTTGTCTTAATTTCTCCATTAAGATGTTAATTAAAGCTTTCCTTTAAAATCCCTTAGAAATCAAACTAAACTTAAATCCTCAGACTGTTCTTATGCCCTCTCTGCTTAAAGGTACAATTAAAGGAATCTGTACCACCCTGGGTCAGAGCTACTTGCTTTGTATCACTTATAATCTTAGATACCTAGAATTTAACTTAATGACTCCTAATGGCTTAAGATCTTCTAAAACATGCAACAGGTACTTTCATTACCTTTGCACCAAAAACACACTGCTACAGGCCACTCAAATGTTGATAAAAAGTATTAGCCCCAGACAATAAATAGCCTCTGCCTTATTTAATATTAGGTGCTAATGAGGCCAAGATTCTACCTTGATGATGCCATTTAACTTTACCTTTAGCTCCCAATTGATCTCAAATATAAATACTATTGCTTACAAGAAGAAATTAGGGTCAGAATAGTATCTGTTTTTACTGCATTTACAGTTCCTCCTGTAACCTTCACTTTGCAAAAGTGTGATTTATTTTTTAAGGAAGCATACCAAAAATAAGGTAGAACCTTGGAAATCTCTCAAATTTTGACAGTATTGCATAAATGCCAATTTTAATATGGATAAAGACAAAGAGAAAGATGTGCATTTCTCAAGTAAAAAAAAAAAAAAAAAAAAAAAAAACAAAAGATTCCAAACGCTTTGGAATTAAATAAAAAAAAAAAAAAAACCTTGCAACAATCTAAACTCGTATAGGGAGCAGTTGCTGTCTAGAGGCCAGGTCTGATTCATTTAACATTCCCAACAGGCTTTTGTTGTAGTAACCTTATATAAGTCTGAGGAGGCAGCCAGTGTGTAACATCTTAGGGTTTTGTCATTCCATAACTTCAATCTCAGTTGAATTCCAGTCTATCTTGAAGTAAGAGAGAATGACTGAATAAGACAGGGAGACCCATTTCAGTGCCAGGGACCAGATGGCAGTTAGACACACTATCATTTATTTTTCTATCAGCTGTAATCTAAAATTATAAAATGAACTGATGCACATGCAAGTACTTACTATATTAGAAAGACTAAATGTCCATACAATGGTCTTTCAACCCTTTCCCCTTGTATCTACTAAAGTATAAACTCCCTAAAGAGAAATTGTATCCATTTCTCTATTTCCTAGTATCCAACACACTATTCTGCATAGTCAGTCTAAGTCAGCAACAGTGTTAGTTGGAGATATGGTGATGAAAAGCTGAATAGCACATACCCTTGAGGGTATGGAGTTTTGCAGGGAAGACAGACAGTAAAGAAACACAGTGACATGTCACACTGCCACTTGGCATTAACACTCCAGGGAGCATACCGCTTCACACGATACTCCTACCCTATGCAAGTTCAACAGACATGGTGAACATTTGTTTGAAGAAAACAAACAAAAAATAACTTTATTAAAAATAACTACTGGAGTATATGGTAATTCCATTCCATATGCAAAAGTCCCAGAATGAGAGAGAGAAGAAACATGGATCTGCCTCTCCCCCCACCAGACTGAGAGCCACAGTGAGCTCTCACAAAGAGCAGCTTGCCACACTGATTGTGACTCTTGTACTATAATATATGTATTTCTTTTTTCAATATGGTCTCTGAATAACAAGTCAAACACTTCACCTGGTACTCAAAAGAAATCTACTCCAATGCTAGAAAAAAACTGGCTGTGTTGAAGTTGTGTGCTACAACGTGTACTTCCTAACAGGTTTTTCAAAAGTTTGAATATTAAGTAATTTCTGCCTGCCACGCTGACCTTAGCATTTAAGACATAACTTCTCTGTAACTACAACTCTTAATGCTAATTTCTCTCCAACATAGTTCAATCACTAACATCATTTTAACATTAATGATGAAAAACATGGTCTCTTGAGTCAGCCAGCCTGGATTCAAATCCGAATTCCAAGCAATTTTTCCTGCAACCTTAGGCAAGTTCCTTAACCTCTCTGTACTTTAACTTCCTCATTTAAAAATTGGAGGTAATAGTGCCTCTACCTCCAAGGGTTGTTGTAAGGATTATAAGAGATCCTGCAAAATGCTTAGCATGAGACCTGACAGTTACTTACTACTCAATAAAAGCTAGCTATTATACTAGGTTCCAGCTCATTCCAAAGAAGGTTTAAGGCAATTTCACAGGTAATATGCATTCAATAAGTAAATGAATCAAAAAGTCATTATTTAGACTAACCTCTGCTAAACTTATTCCCAAGGGACTGGCCTGACTATGTTAGTGACTACCACTTAACATGTTCCACTGCTGTTACCCAATAGTTCATAAGCTTGTTAATAAAATTCTTTTCTTTTTCTTTTAACCCTATAGGCAACCTTGATTCTGTCAACTGTATAAGAAAGAAACTGAATAGTGTAAAATCACCTCTGGGTGATTTTAAAAATGGTTATATATAGCCAAAAACGTAAAGGTGAGCTTGAAAAATAAGTGTAATATAATACATTTAAGACACATTTAAATTTTGTAGCTTAAATGACAAAATTGAAATTTCCATCTTCATACAGACAAAAATGAACCACCAAACCACAATGTTTATCTTTCAGCACATAAATTATTTCTAATTGCTATAATAAATGTGCTTTAATTTTTGCATTATGTTTGTGTGTGTGTGTCCCTAAAGCATAACCCTCTAACACCGCAGCTTACTAAAATATTTCAAATGCAATAACATAAATAACAATGACATTTAACTTCTAAACCACTTTTATAGTTTATATTATGGAAAAAAATTATTTATCGTGTAAGTGGCTTAAAATTCTTAGTAACCCCTATGATAATGACTTTAATTGTCCAACAACATATAAAAAGCAGTACTTCAGCTTCATCCTCCACATACTGGTTATGCTAGGTAAATATGAATATTTCATCCAAGATTCAAGTAACATCAACACTGACTTTCTAAAAAGTTTCGGATTTAGCAAAGACTTGTTTTTATTAATAAAATGTATAGTATTACTAAATTTTAAAGCCAAATATCAGTAATCTCTTTTTGACAATATCTTGTGGAAAAGTAAACTGGTAAATCCATGAAGGCATATAAGGCTACAATAACTCAGGACTATTGATCTTACTCTATGCCATACTGTGGTACAACAAATGACTGCGGAATTTGTTTTCAAGACCAAAACCTAACACGATTTATCACTAAAATTCAGTTTGCATGTTTTAAAAAATGATCTTTTTATGCTTAAGTCTCCAGGTTTAAAGCAAATAAGATTCACTTAAGTATTAGAAAAATTTTTAGGAATCCCAAAATATAAGTTCCTTTGAAACAAAAACTACTCAATTTTACAAAAGCCACCTTGTCTAAATTAAGTGATATTAAAGGTATAATTCATAGGAAGATAGCAAAGTTAAAAAGCAAGAAACAAAACAAAAAAGCAAAGAAAAAGGAAGAATTATGGATTTTAGAATATGGAGACAGATCTGGATTCTAACCATGGTTCCAGTACCTACATTTTGGAAACTCTAGCAATTTAAACTTTTTTTAGTTTAATAAGTAAATTTACTTATTTTCTTGATGTCTTCAGCTATAAAACAGCGTTAATAATACTACTTAGAGGAAATAAAGGTTTTTAGGGCAAAATGAGGTAACACTAGGGAAGAAGAGTCCATTATAAGTTTCTTCCATGTCTGTATTTTGTCATAATGAACATCGCTTGCAAAAAGCAGGACAGTGATCTCTAAAATGCTGTAAATGAAAGTGATTCCTTTGTCATTTCCATCTAGAAAATTAAACCTGATTTCAGAGACCTCCAAAAAGAACAAACATTTTTCTACAATTTATATTAAAATTCTGTCAATGACTCCTTTGCATATAACCTTAATTGCCTAAGCATTATGGCTCATTTGAAAGTTCTTATATACTTCAATCCAGAAAGCATATCTGCTTTATTCATTTCTCTATTTCTGTCCCCAGAGAAGTGCCGGAAGCATTGTGCATGAATACACTCCTTCATTCATTCAGCAAATATTTACTGAACCCTTATATTGTGCCAGGTACTACGTAAGTAGTGGGGTAGGGTAACACATGACAAATGAGAGGGCCCTGCTCAGGAAGCTCATAGTCCAGTGAGGAGACAATATTTGTCAAATAAATACAGAAATAATTAAGTTTCTATTATCATAATGCCACAAAGGAGTAGAGTATGGTGAATACATGGCGGGAACCTATTCTGGTTTTGGGAAGGAGGGCAAGGCTCCCCCGAGAAAGAATATTTAAATTGAGATATGAAAACTGACTATCAGGTAGCCACATTTAGGTAGGCCAAGGAGTGAGATGGAATATGCAATGGCCACCAAGTCAGGAAGGAGCTTATGTATGTAGTAACCAAAAGGCATGGTAAATGAGAAAGGCTGGGGATAAGGACGGAGAGTTGGATAGGAGAAGAGATAAATTTTTAGTGTTAAACAGAGTAAGAAAGTAATAGTATTTGAATATTTAAGTCACATTGTCTTTTTCTCATGTAAATCTAAGGGAACTAAGTCTTTACTCCACAATATTAAAGATCTGTAGTCAGAAGATCTCGATTTTTATCTTACTCCCACCAGTTACAAGTCACTTAACCAAACTGAGCTTCTTCATTCTCTTCGTAAATATTACCTTACCTACTGAGACTACAATAACAGCCCCTATTCTTACAGACCTTACATCCTTAAGAGAAAGAGACAGATGTATAATATATGGAAGACATTCCAAGTCCTATAAGAAATTACGTCCAAAAGCTGATATAAGGCTCCTGCAAAGCCCAGCATGAGAAGAAATGAAGACACTGGTGAGCTGCAAACTACATGTGTACACATAACTCCGTGAACTCTTAACTATCCAACGTGCAGAGATCTAAAGTGACAACAATACTGCAGCATGTGATTGAAAGATGATTAAAAACAATACAAACATTAATCCACCATCCCAATAGAAGAAATATCAAAACTATAATTGGCCTCAGACATAGAGTAGTGGCAGAAATGAACCAAGAACAAAATCTAAAATACACTGAACAAATGCATTATATTATTTCCAAAATTTCCTCATAGTTCAAAACCTCTTTCCATAATGACAGAGTTATGTGCCAAAGGTTAGAATTTATTTCATACCTCCTTCAACAAAAGGCAAATACTTACATTGTCATCTAGAAAATACATTAATATTCTTCCTTTACCATCACTGACTCATGTTCAGTTTATGGTCTATTTACACCACCGCACCCTTCTTAATCCAGCACAAAGTCAGTTATCCTCACATAATTTTCCATTTGTTTAACTGGGTCTTCCTTGTCTGTGTACTACATTACTCATGGTACATTATTCCTGATTTTACTTCATTCTATAGTGCCATACTTTTTCTATTTTAAAAATCGTATTAATTTCCAGACCATCTTAATTTCAACCATCAGGTAAGAGAATATCTCTATTCCAAAAAAATATTTTTGCATTAAAAAGTTACTATATTGTTGATAATATAGTAACTGCAGAGTACATTCAAAATTCAGCATAGTCTGATGATCAACTTATACATAATACAGTAAGCTATGATTTATTACATGTTAAGAGTAAACCATGATTTATTACATGCTAACCTTTATGGATATAAAGTTACCACAAAGAAATTCTGGCATCAATGAACATACTCTTACAATTCTATTAAAAACCTATCCAATAATAATAGTCATGAGCTATAACTGGTCATAATAGAGGTTAATATTTGCATAAAGGCACTATTTTCTGCAAGAGATAAAATGTAAGTGTACTGTTTTTTCATTCCTTAATGTAAAGTAAGAATGAATTGAAAGTCACAGATGATGCTAAGAAAAATAAAAATATGTAACAGCCTAATTCTATTATTTGCAGACACACACACAAATACAGCCTAAAGTCAAGAAAATGGGGGAGAAGTAAAATCTCAAACAAAAAAGACGATGTTACCTCCAAGAAATGCAAAGTACTTTCTTTTCTAGTAATGGGCACACTAAACTCTCCTAACATTATTTGAAAAAAGTTTAAAGTTTTGTGAAAGAATTCCAATCCAACTAGTATCAGTTTTACAAAATGAGAGTACAAACAGTCCTAAAGTAGAAAAAGAAAAGAATGTTCTTCTAAGGATGGATATTAACTGTTGTTCTCCCATCCTATTACCTACCCTTAAAAATGAACTGTGAGAGTAGAGTCTATCATTTAATACATCCCTAAAAAAGAGGCGGAAATCTGTAAAAGTTAAAACTGACCCTTTTTTTCCCAAAAGGTTCTTTCCTTTATTGAGGAATTTCACTCCAGTTCAAGAAACAACTTTTCATCTCACAATGGCTTCTTAGATGTACTACATAAAATACATTTACTTTGCAACTTCCTCCACTCTTTTCAAAAAGCACAACCAACGTCCCTACTCCAGAAGCTGGACTCGAACAGGACTAGATTCAGAAAGTCTGTTCCTACGTGTGTGACCTTGGGCACGTCATATAATCCCTCGGTTTCCTCATCAGCATCCCAAAATGAAAGCGCTCTGAAAGCAGTAAAGGAGTAAAAACATACTTAGGTATGACACCTACGAGGGTCAAGCCTTTCTGTTCAAGGCAAAATTACCTCCTTAGAGGGCCACATCATTAAACTGGAACTGAATCCGTAGACCTCAACATTTGTCTCTTCCTTCTTCCAGTGCTCCCCTTCCCTCAAAGGGCATAACCCGAGTCACCCCCGAGAGCAGACTGCCCAGCACCCTTTCCTTCCTCCTCCCTTTCTCTTATTTACAAAGCAGGGGGAAAAGAGCAGCCTCACCTCTCCGTGCGAAGCCACACCTTCAAAGGACCCCACCCCAGGCACATCCGCCCTCTCCCCTCTCCCGGGGCACCAGGGGCCAACCTCGCCCTTCCCCTCCCGCCCCCACCTAGAGGAGACTTCCTGGAGGCGTTCGGGCCCAAGCCGGCAGGCGGCATTTACAAACCCGCTTTACGCCACTCGCGTAGGGTAACCTCGCTTACGCCCGTAGGGCCCCGCTCTCAGCCCCGTCCGCTCCGCCTGCCAGAATCAAGCCCGAGTGCCTCAGCCATGGCCCCTGCGTGACCCTAGACCTCTTCTGCTCGGTGCAGAGCTACGGGGACTGGGACAGAACAGCTACACCTTACCAGCAACTGAGGCACTGACTTCACTTCCCACCTTTGCAGCCCTCTTCAACTCCCGGATCAATTCACTCCGGCGACGCCGGAAGGACCCGAGAGGAACCAGGCGTTGTCCGGAATCCTGCCCAGCCGGAGTCGCGCAGAGGCCTATGGGGACTCGTAGTCCCGCTCGCCAACGTTGTCCGGAATTCCTGCACTCGGAAGACTACACTTCCCGGCAGGCCGTGCGGGAGATCCTGAGGCGATGGGTGGGGACACTTCTAGCCAATACTAGGAGAGTTCCCTGCCTTTGCGGGAGGAGGTGAGATGAAGAGAGATGGTGCACGGAAGGGAGAGGAAGGGCGGGGCAAGCCCTCACCTGCGCCAATCAGGGTGCCGGGTAGGCCCCGCAGGCGCCTCACCCATTGAGGGGGCGGGCTGACAGAGCAGAGGAAGGAAGGGGGTGAGGGGCCCGTGGTGGGGATCGTGGGGTTGTCGGGCTGAGTATGCCGTACGGGTGGAGAGGAAGCCTCGGGGAAATCACCCGGGTGAAGGGAGGGCTTGGTGTGGGGACTTGCACAGGGCGGAGGAGCAGCTAAGCCCCGGGCACATCGGGCAACCAGACCCACGGGTTGGGGAGGGATAGGCTGAGCCGGGGCTCCCAGCAGAGACGCCTGGGTGGGGCAGGAGACCGCTCCAGGTGTGAGCCACAGAGGAGGGGAGAGGGACCCCCAGGGGAGGGGAAGTGGCAGAGCAGCTGCAGAAGTGCGGGGAGCGGGAAGGTACACGGGCAGCTGCTTTCCGCTGCCTCCGGCCCGGGCAGCTGCAGAAACAGCAGGGGGAGGAGCAACAGCTGCCAAATTCGCCAACTAGAGGAGGGAGAGGCGGAGCTTGGGTCCCTGTAGAAGCCAGAGGCGCAGTCTGGACTGTAGTTTCCCGGGAGAGACGAAAGCAGGAACGAGAGCGGAGCGGAGCACAGTCCTCCGAGCACCAGCTCCAGCATCCCGTCAGGGGTTGCAGGTGTGTGGGAGGTAAGCGTGGGTCCTTCTTCGGGGCGTCTGCACTGCCCTGGAGAAAACGTGTTCCAATAGGAATTACATCAAGATACAGCTAAAAGAGTCCGCCTTGGGTTAGGAAACCGGTGTAAACCCTCTCGGGTGAAAGATTTACATTTTTGGACTATAAGGGCAAAAAAGCAAAAAGAAGCTTGACTCTGGGTATAAAGGGCGTGGTTAGTGTTTTTGGTTTGAGTTACACCAGTAAAACTGTTCTGGGGGGATCTCAAGATTGAGAAAAACCCTGCTAATTGAGGACGAGGTGGATGTTATCTGGTGGATGTTATAGGTGCGTAGCGTATAAAAAGCAAAAATTTTGCTATTGATATAGAATGACTTCTGAACTATTTCACTAGGAAGATAACTTTGCGTTCTTCTTCAGTGTCTACCTTTATGTTGGTTTATCAGATTGTTCTGCTACCGACCTGTTATCCAGGGTGGTTATTCTGCAGTTTCATAGAATTGCAAGAAATCCGTATTAAAGAAGCAAATGCAGGCAGGAATAGTCAGGATAGGATGGGCTCTGACTTAATCTATCAAAAGTATAACTTTTGCCAGCAATAATGTAAAAATGAATTTTAATGAATGGATAGTTAGCTTTCTTTCCAGTGGCTCTGGAATATTGGAACAAAGACCTGGATTCAGCCTACAATGGGAACATATGGTGTACCTCACTGCTGCTCCTTATTCTCTCATTTGTGTCCGATAATATGTGTACATTTTAAAATCAAGAGTACATGGAAAGCTGTGTGGGAATCTTTTCTCTGGGTAGAAAGTATGTGCTGAAGGACTATCCTTAATATGTGTTATGATGGTGGGTTCAGATTTGAAACACATGTAGTGTCACAAAATAATAGTTTATTCTCGGTATTAAACCATATGTGTATTCAAAGCAACGTAATTGTAATACCTATGGATGGAAATATGTTGTAATGCTGGGTAAAGATGAAAGTCTCACCTACCTTTGTGTAATTATGACAAAATTACAGCCTTTTATTTTTCGAGTAGTAAGAAGCTATTTTCCTAGTTCATTTTCATTTTGTTACAGAGGTTCCCAGATTACATGGCTTTTAATCATAGTAGCATATTGCAGCAAATTTTGCTCTGAAATGCTTTCATTGTGACAGTTGTATATTTCAGAGTCTGTCTCAATACTTTAATCTATGTTTTTTTAATAACCAGGGTCAATAAAATGGAGTAATTGCCTCGTTTTCTCCTATTTCTGTGCTCTCCTGAGTTCTCGGGATTTTAAATTTTATTTTTGTAATGCATCCCAGATTTCTCTTTGAAAAGAAATGGCTCAAATGAATTCTCTTCCCAGCTTAAAGTTCAGTCCTACTGCGTGCTACTACCGGTAAGCCTAAGTGACTTATCAGTGTATATACTCTTCCCTCCCACACTCTCACATACCATAGAAATATATAGACAGATAGCTCTTAGAAAAACAGCTGCTTTTTGATTATCCCTAAGCTGATCAGCTAAGTATCAAAAACAGCAAAGAGCTTAGAAGAAAGAAAAAGCAACAGTAGCTGCTAAACTTAACCACTGTAAGGATCAGATTTTATCTTTGCTACAGCACTAGAGAATCTATTAATTCACATAGCTGATATGGCCCTGTGAAAATGATGTTGGGGTTAAAAAAAAAAGTGGGTATTAGGGTGACACCTGGAAAAGATTGTTTGCCCTTGTTATTTGTGATTAAGTGAATTGTCTTGAATCAGTCTTAGATCCTTTCTCAGACTCTACTACTAATTCGTTTTGTAAAACTGAATAATTGCTGTCTCTGGGTTATTTCCCCCATGTGATAATTATAATACTAGCAATGAAATTCTTTCCGAGCCTTTATTAAAATATCTGTTTGAAAGAGTTTTATTGGGAAACAGTTAATAAGCAAGCAAATGGATAGAAGATAAATATCTAAACAGTTGAAATTAAGATGTACTTTGAATCTCAGCTTTTGATAGGTCTTCTGCTCTGAGGCATGGTAAAGGCTAGAATCTCATTAGGAATGAATGAGTTTGTGGTATTAAAGTACTGATTTTTTTCACCTATTTCCAAGATTTGGATCCTTTTTACTGTGTCAGTAAAAGAGATTGGGTTTCAATATCATTTGAAAAAAGACCATATTTTTACGTGAGAGAATATCATTGGCGGTATATGGCATTTATTTTTTACTTTGAACTCTTGATTCATGTTAGTTAATATTCACATTCAATCTCAGGTAATCTGAAGATTTTTCTTGATTGGTGTTGAAAACGTTCGTTTTATGGCAGTTTATAATACTGTGTAAAATGCTACCTATGTTATAAGCATATTACTTATTCTGCTCTCTAATTTTACTATTGGTATTTGGCTATCAGTGAATATATATGATGAGAAAGGAAAAGCAACAGAGTGCAGAATGTCTCTCTTGAATGGAAATTGCTCAGGGGATGATTGTTCTTTAGCCAAAAACCTTGGTTAATTTCCAATTACCATATCCTTTGGTCCTTTCTTTAGAATTCTGATTCTAAGCCTTTTGAGTAAAAATAAGTTAGTATGGATTTCTCTTTAACAGGCGGATTCACTGATGCATGCAGCACAAAAGAGCAAGACTTAAAGGTCCAAGATCAAATGGTTTTGGTAAAGAAGGAGACAGGGGAATAGATATAAAGAAAACACTTGAGAAACACACCTTTAGCAAAAGAGAAAAAAAATTTATATTTTTTGTTAAGTTCCCATAATCCATGAATCCATGGCCTTTTCTCCCCCAGTCATTCATTAATTTGTACAGGCCTGTATTCATACTGGAATACATTACTTTTCTAAGTAAAATTGAATATTCAAAATCTAATGAATACCAGTCTGATTCCAGTTAAAATGGCAGTTTTTACTGGAATACATTTTGGATGATTAACCTTCCTTTTTTATGCTTTTATAATCCATGAATATTCAAAATCTAATTAATACCAGTCTGATTCCAGTCAATGGCCATTTTAACTGGAATCAAACTGGTATTCATTAGATTTTGAATATTCATGGATTATGAAAGCATAAAAATCCTCCCTGTATACACTCACTTCTAAGTGAAACATTATTTGGACAAAATATCAAGAAGTAAATACCTAAAATGATGTTTTGCCCCTTTAAAATAATAAAGGTACTTCAACCAGACACTAAGATGAGCAAGGTACCATTTATTTAATTAAGCAAATTCCAAAGGTTAAACACTGCTTTTGGGATCAGAATTAACATACACAAATAAGGGAGAGTTTTTTTGTTGTGTCTTTTTTTTTTTAAATCTTCTAAGAATTTAGTCTTTACAATTTGGAAAGTGTGTTTTAAGTAACTACATTATTAACTCTTAGAGACCATGTACTTCTTTTCTATCTCCTTTTAGTCCTGAGCACCTTATGTCATATTCAGCGTAAAGAAACTGAGTAACCAATTACTGAATTAGAATCATTGGACATTGGACAATACTTCTATAATGCTCACATTAAGACAATTTGCCCTTTGATAGATAGAGTCAGCTGACCTCACAGAATGATTGCTTATACATTAGTCCTTCTGAGAATGTCTTTATGCTAGTTTGCCTTTGCGAAAGTGTTGATTGAGGACAATTGGATTCACACTGTGTGGGCTGCAAATACGTTACAAATTTAGGCGCCAGCATTTCTAAATTCATCTCAGAAATAGGATATATAGGCAAGGGTAAAGGAATCTCCAACTGGTGGCACTTAAGGTCTGAATTTCACAGACAGGAAAATCCAGGGCACACCACCATTTAACCTCAAGGCCCTGGAGTTATACCTTTGTTGAAGCTTATCTGTAGAAACCATATTTCATTCTATAAAAACTTAATTTACTCTTCTGTTTTTCTAATTATTTCTTCCAAAAAAAGAAAGAAGTAGACTGATTTTGTTTAAGCATATGTAGAGTTGGTCATTAATTGTTTTTTGCATTTGACCTTCTCGAAACAAATTAATCTGATTGGTGTTAGAATTAAGAATCTAATGTAGTTTTTCCTAAATTTTAAGACCTGTACAATTCTCGTTAATTGTATATAGTTTTTTAGTAGTAAAATTAATTATAGCAAATATTTAACTACCTTCTGTTTACTTTTACCTTCATGTTGATGGATATAAATTGGCTTGCTTAGAACTGATAATTAACCTGCCTTTTTCTTTTTTTTTTTTTTTTTTTGAGACACGGTCTGACTCTGTCGCCAGGCTGGAATGCAGTGTCCTGGTCTTAGTTCACTGTAACCTTGAACTCCTGGGCTCAAGCTCTCCTCACACCTCAGACTCTCCAGTAGCTAGAACTATAGGCAAGAACTACCATGCTCAGCTAATTTTAACTTTTTATAGAGATGAGGGTCTCACTGTGTTGCCCAGGTTGGTCTCAAACTCCTGACCTCAAACAATTCTCTTACCTTGGTCCCCCAAAGAATTGGGATTACAGGTGTGAACCACCATGCCCTGCTGATATTATTCTTAATGATTAGCACTGTGCCTTGTGTAGAGTAAACTTAGTTCATACCATCTTTCTCACCAGATACTTAGTATCTTTAGAGCTAACACCGAGTTTCATTGACCTTTGTATTCATTTTGAGAATTCTTTTACATAGTTCATACTTGGTAAGTAGTAATAATTTGGATAACTATTTGGCAATCTATAATGAAACATCATTTTGCAAACAAATACAACTAGTAAAATAAATTTTTCTTAGATATCTGTGTTAGTCCTAAATTCAGCCCTCTGCCAACCATGGTTGCTTATATTACAGCTAAATATAAATATTGCTATCTTTTGTTGGATTTCTAAATGAGTAGAACAAATTTTGTTATTAACTGCAATCTTGTGTGTGTGTGTGTTTGCACGCATGGGCGCATGCTTCAGACATCAGTTTATTCATTAGATGCTGTTTGGGGTTTGTGTGGTCCTTTTCTCTCCTTGCCTCTAGAACTCTGCTGATTTAAAGATGTGCTTTTCCT